TCAAATGAGACGGACAAGATTGCAAGACCTCATTGGAAGGAAAGTTCAGCTTTAGATCTGTAGAAGTTTGGGATTTTGACATCCAAGTGGAGATGTTGAGATAAGCAGTTGAATAAATGAATTTGGAGTTAGGTAAAGAGGTCCAATAATGCTTAGGTTTAATCTTTTTGGCCTGTCTCCCATGGCTGTCATTCCCTTGCAATTGTTTTCATCTTTATTTCTATTTTCCATTTTGCATTTCTCACATTTCTATACTTTCTTTTCCTTAGGCCTTTTTGTGTGGGGTGTATAGCCTCACTTGTACTTAATGTAATTGTTTTCTTTTATTCAGAAATGTCTTTATTGTGTCTTTCTTTCCTGACTTCCTTTATTTTCTAATTTTCCTCTTTTGTCTGGCTATTTTTCCCCCCCTGGTTTCTTATTTTAAGGATAAGAGGCACCCATGCTTTATTTTCTTTGCAACTACAATTATTAGGTTGATTTTTACAAATCACAACAATAAATTTGTATTTCAATTCTCATGTACTCGTTAGCAAAATACGTTAGTGGGCTTTTTTTTTTTTAATCAGGTTATTCTTTTCTTTCTTATAGTGCTGAATTTTTCCCTTTTGTTTAACCATGTTTTCAAAAGTTGAGTTGTCTTTGACTAGCTATCAACAAGAGGTTTTGGTTGGAAGTAGTTGCTTTCCAAGTTTCCCAGCTTAAGTTTTCTATCCTCTTGCTACAGTGAAAACATAGTGCCTCCTCACAAGCATGACCTAAGGCTCCTGCCTTTCAGGGCCTGCCCTTCCACACTTGAACTCTCACTTCATTTCTCCCACAGCTGCTGCTGCTCAGAGACAGGACTCTTGTCTTCTCAGGTGCCTCTTCACGTTTAGAAGTCGCTGCTTCTGGAACCCACTGAATAGCTTGTGTGTGATCCTTTGCTAGTTCGCTCAGTATCCATGGCCTGCTTATTTTAGCCCATCTATCACAGAGTGGTTCCAGCTCTGAGTTTTGCCTTCTCCTATCCTTGAGTGTTTATTTCTGAGCTTTTCAGTATTGAACTCTCTGGACATTCCTCATTTCTCCCTCCTATACTGTTAGAGCTTCCACAGCCCATTCTGCTGGTTTCGTGTGTGGTGGCTTTTGTAGTTTGTAGATTTCCTTCTTATTGTTTAGCTGAGTCTGTTGTTTGTGCATATGTTTGTTTCATTCTCCTTTTGGCTTTGTGTAGTTTCCAGGAAAGAAGTGGAAAACATCAGAAGTTGCCACAATTTTGCTATCAAAATTAGAAGTCCATTTTCTTCTTTTAAATATAGTGGTGTTTTGTTTTGTCTTCCATATAGATTTATATTATAAAGGCATAAACATGTCTAGTTTCATAACCCCACAAATAGCTTTGGCCACACTATTTTCTTTATATTAGTGTTTATGCTCCTTCCACAATACATACTCCTGGTTGGGTTGAGGTAGTGAGAGTGTATTTTTTTTTTAAACCCATTATGCTTTTCTTTTTTCTTTTAGTCCTGTTTATTTACTTCAAAGTAACTTTTTCAAAAAATAATTTTTAATTTTGCATTTCATCCTCCTATTATATATAGGTTACATTTTACATAGGTGAATTAAAAATAATTTTAGATGCCCTGGAGCATTCATCTTTTCTGTGGCAGGGGAATGCATGAAAGGAAATGGGAAGCTAGCTCAAAAGTAAATATTAACATATTTGTTAATGTTAACATATTTGTTAAAGAGGAATATTTAGTATGAAAGTCCACAGTTAAGAGGATGAAAATCAAGCAATAGGCGGAAAGAAAATATTTGCAAGCCACATATCTAACAAAGGATTAGTTATATATATAAAGAACTCTCAACATTCCAGATTAAAGAAAAAACACCACCAACTAATTTAAAAATGGGCAAATGTCAAGAACAGGCAATTTACTGAAGCGGACATACAAATGGCAAATGAGCACATAGAAAAATGTTCAACATCATTAGCAATTAGGGATATGTAAATTAAAACCACAATGGAATATCACAAGACACCTATCAGAATGGCTAAATGAAAAATAAGGACAGCACCCAAATGCTAATAAGGATACAGAGAAGCTGGGTCATTCATACATTGCTGGTGAAAATACAAAATGTCAGATGGTAGAATTGCTGATGGAAATGCTGGTTCATATTCTGGGAACTTATCCTAGAGAAATGAAAACTTGTGTACACACAAAACCTGTACGTGAATGTTCATAGCTACTTTGTTTGTAATGGTCTGAAACTGAAAAGAACACAAACACCCTTCAACAATGTTTAAATTGTGGTACATTCATATCATGAAATTCTACTCAAAATATTAAGGAATGAACTATTGATACATCAATGTGGATGGATCTCAATTGAATTATGCCATGTGGGGGGAAAAGCTAATTCCAAAGTTCCCATAATATATGATTCTATTTCTATAATATTGCTAAAATTCATTACTCTATAGAGTCTATAGAGAGCAGATTAGTAGCTGCCAAGGGTTAAGGGGAAGTTGTGCATGGGAGGGAAATAGGTGTGGCTATAAAAGGGACCTATTTTCTTGATTTTATCAGTGTCAGTAGCTTGGTTATGATACTGTACTATCACTTTGAGAGGTGTTAGCACTAGGAGAAGCAGAGTGATGAGTACATGGGGTCTCTGTTATTTCTTACACCTGCATGATAGTCTACATTATCTCAAACTAAAAAGTTTAACAAAAAAATACAAGCATCGAATCTACACATACTGCATGTGGTTGCCTTTACTTTGTAATACTTAGAGTGTTGACATTGCACAAAAATGAGAACAGAAGGAAGGCAAATAAGACAGAAAAAACTCATTGTCAACAAAATTTATAACATTGATCATGGCCATTTGCACTGTGTGGTCATTTTGCAATAAGTTACTGTAAATATTACTTGTCAGCAGTTATCTCAGCTATTCAGTGTGTTTGAATTTGGCTGTTCTACCCTGTGGCCTGGTGCTAATAGGTGTTACAAAAGGATACATTTCTAATGGAAATGTAAGGATTTTCTTTTGGACAAAATTTTAACAATGAAAATTACTCCTCTTCTAAGTACTGACTAGCAAACAATTGTAGAGAGGGAATTTTGGAAAGGAGTGTAGATGCCAGTGTGGTAGGCAGTTAGACAGCCATGAGCAGAGCAAGGAGGGTGGGCCAGGTAATAAATAGGTCAACAGGGCGCTTAGCAATGGGCAAACCTGAAAAAACAGGACCTTGCCCCCAGGGTAACCTTTCCTCCCCTAGCTTATTACTGGGTCATGGGGTAAGACTCATCTGACTTTTCATCTTTTCATATCTCTGGTCATGTGGTTGGGACCCTCCTCTGATCTTTCTCGCCCTAGCATGTTGCTAAGTCATGTGGGTCAGACCCTTTAGAGGGGGAATGAACAAAGGGTCTGGAGAACAGCCCTTTATGCATTGAGAACAATGAGGTTCTGACTCAAATCAGTTACATCTAGGCCTCAGTTGTGTTTTAGCTCCAGGCCCAGAAAAGCTGCCAAACCAGACAAGTGACCCTATGGCTGGCCTCGGCACCAGCTGCATTGACTAATTACCCCTGCCTTGGCACCAGCCAATCTGCAGAAACCACAAATGGACACAGTGGTGGAAAGCGGATGCTTGTTCTATTGGGATCCTCCCCTGAGACCTCCAGATAAATACCCTCTAGACCAGGGTCCAGTGGGGCTCTCTCTATGGAGCATGCCATGCCTTTCCCTGCCCCTTTTCCTCAGGCACATTTTACTGAGCCTAGTTCTTCTATGGCTCACTTCTTCTTCTACCTCTGTGACTTTGTAAATAAACTCTCTTATAGTCTGTCGTGGCTCTGAATTCTTTCTTAGTCATAACTCCAGATTGCTGAGCCCAAGGTCCAGTCTAACTCCTGTTGCCATTCTTGCTGCTAACATATGGATCGCTAGTGAATCTTCCTGTTTGGTAGCTCCATGATTATTAAGCCTTCAGCTGCCTGATAGTGTTCAACAGTGTATCATATGTCTTTTCATGACATATCTAGAAATGACTGTAATATTGAAGTAGTAATGAGCATAAGTGGTATTCACTGATAAAAGTAAGGGTGGTGGTTCTAACAATGTGTATGTTGGATGAAGTATGGTAATGTCACTGTGGCCACAGGGGAAAGGAAAATAATTATATATTTTTTCCCCTAATAAAGTCATGGACTTTCTGGAATCAAACCCCTCACTAGAGTATGTTTGTGGGTTATTTGGAATGATCTGATAGCAAGGGCAAAACTGATGATGTAGGAGAGAGAAGGAAGAAATGTAGGACAAAAAGAAGGTAAGAGAGCCTAGAAGGGGTGTTGGCATTTTACCTTCCACCTGTTCACCAGAGGGAAGTATGGAGAAAGAGGACAAATGTGTAAACTTTGCAGGATTGGTGGTAAGAAGGAGAGTGCTCTTACTTGATTGTTTCTGTATTCCCAGTGACATACAAAGCAGAATCACTACCTCACAGTGAAGAAGGTTGCGCAAGTTGTACAGGTAAAACAGTCATTTGGAAAGTGAGAAAGTGAACACATTAGAGAACTTTTTAGGATTGCAAGACATTGTTGAAAGACCATGAATTTATAGTAAAAGCAGTCAACAATTTTGTATATTTTTCTTGAACAAAGTTGAACTACAGGTTACTTATAACGTACTGAAACTTGAAAACAATGTTCAAATATTATAATATTTAGTAAAATGTCTAGTAATTTCTTCTAATTATTATTTTGGACTCCAAGAAAGGAAGATGCAGCTAAGTAATTATATGGTCAGAAGGGAGGTTAAGTATTAGAGTTGGCCAAATCAGTCAAAATTTAAAATTAATGACCATATGTAATGATTATAATTTTTTTCTTGACTATAACTTCAGCATTGGGGTTAGTGTGTCTTAAACCTAACCCATGGCCCAGTAACTTTGTTATCAGAAATGCTTACTAATATGATCTGTATTTATGTGTGTTTTTCAGTATGGACCAATATTTACAGTCTTTGCTGTGGGAACTCGAATGACCTTTGTTACTGAAGAAGAGGGCATTGATGTGTTTCTAAAATCCAAAGAAGTAAACTTTGAACTTGCAGTGCAAGATCCTGTCTATCGTACAGGTAAAGAATATTCTCAGTTCATTTGAAATGTCACATTGGAATCCACGAGTAGTTTTAAGTACCAGTTACATCCTTACTCCTATATCAAGAATGACAAAGCTCCATGATTTTATTGTTTAGAGTAGGGATAGAAGGAGAAGAGAGTGTATAATGAGTTTGGTCATTGAAAAACAAAGTATTGGCAGCTTATATTGAGATCAGTTAGATCTCAATTAGACACATGAAAGAGATGAGGTTACCTCACTGATGTTTTCTTTGGAAAATATTTGGAATCTGTATCCTGTTACAGCTCCCATGATGTGGCTAACTGTTCTGCTACTCTGCATACAGTGTTCTTCAGGCTGTAGCTCTTGGCTTGATCACATCTTACTGCTCTGCTCCCTGAAAGTAGAATTCCACTGCTTACTAAGCCCTTTGCTAATGGCATTTCCTGACATAATCCATAGGGCTACTAAGGTAAGTGGTGCCCTTTCTCCAAGTCTCTGTCTGCAGTGACCTCTGGATTGCACTGGTTAGTGTGTTCGCAGGGTCAAGGTCTCCTCTGTTTCTTCCCGGTCACACATGTGCATGCTGCTGAGCCCTTTGTCCTCCCAGGAATGTAGGGCTGATTCATTTGGCATCTGATTCATTTTGCACGGTTGTTGTCACCATGTCTGTGCTGGCTTCTACTGACTATAGCTTTTTTTTCTTTGCTTCTTTCTTAGATTCCTTTTCATGTAGCTTCTCATGCATTTTTTGTTTTTACCATTAAGACAAAAAAAGTTGATTTTAAAAGCTCTCAATGACCAGTACAACGATTATTTTTTCACCTTGCTTTTATGAAAATCACATGTTTAAATTTTATGATATTTAGTATACTTCTAGATATTTTTGAGTATGGAATTTCAGATCAAAGAATATAAATATTTTTAAATTTCTTGATCTATAAAGCCACGTATCCTTAAGAAATATATACCAACCTACTCATCTGTCAGGTACATGAAAGTGATCAAGTTTTTATACCTGTCCCTCCCTTTTTGGTGGCTTTCATGTTTAAATATTTTTAAAAATATTTTATTGATTTTTTTACAGAGAGGAAGGGAGAGATAGAGAGATAGAAACGTCGATGAGAGAGAAACATCGACCAGTTGCCTCTTGTACACCCCCTACCCGGGATATGCCCGCAACCAATGTACATGCCCTTGACCGGAATTGAACCTGGGACCTATCAGTCCACACACCGATGCTCTACCACTGAGCCAAACTGGTTTTGGCATCATGTTTAAATATTTTTATTCAATAGATGAAGTATGTTAATATTTACTTTTGAGTCAGCTTCGAATTTCCTCTCATGTATTCCCCTCCCACAGAGAAGATGAGTGCTTCAGGGTATCTAAAAATTATTTTTAGATTACCTATATAAAATGTAATCTATACATAATAGAATGATGAAATACAAAACTAAAAATTATTTTTTGAAAAGTTACTTTGAAGAAAATAAAATAGGATTAAAGAAAAATATAAAGGAATAGTGCATAAAAACACTAATTATACTCTCACTACCTCAACCACACCAGGAGTGTGTATTGTGGAAGGAACATGAACGCTAATATGAAGGAAACAGTGGGGCAAAAGCAATTCATGGGGTGAGGAAAGGACTTCTGGTGGAAGTAATATTCAAGAAGATGCTTGAAAGAGGAATAGAAATTAGCAGGAGAAACTTAGGTCTTGTAGGTATGCGTGCATGGGGATGAGGGTGAGGTTGGTCCAGTAGAGAATGTTATGAGCAGCTTGAACAGCTCATGAAAAAGCTGGGCTCTATAAAACAGTGTTTTCAATATACCTGAAATGTATATTTAAAGGGGGAAATATCACCAGAGAGTCCAAAAGTTGATAGAAAGCCAATGAAAGGTTTAAGCATGAAAATAACATCACTAGAATTATGTTTCCCAGAGGCCCACTTATAGATTATACCTTAGAGTAAATGACCCTACAGACTTTTACTATCTTACCATATAGGTTGAATCTTTACCTGGTTTTATTGCCAGGAGGTTGTTTTATGTTTTTGGTGAACTTTGGCTATATTCCCTACTGATCAAATCATAGAAGTACTAGTATATTGACTGCTTCAAGGAGTTGTTGCTTCTTTTAAAAATAGTTTTCTTGTTTATAGCATCAATTCCAAAGAATGTCTTTTTAACACTGCATGAAAAACTTTATATCCTGATGAAAGGGAAAATGGGGACTTTCAACCTATGTCATTTTACTGGACAACTAGCTGAAGAATTACAGGAGCAACTGGAGAACTTAGGCACTCATGGGACAAGGGACCTGACCATCTTAGTAAGGTAAATAGACGAACTGGTATTAGTTCATTTTGCTTTTTTGGAATAAAACATTTTAAACCTATACATTGGACTTCAGAGATTATCTGGTGGATCAATAAAGTCTACCTAACTAGGCAATTAAGAGATTATGTTAATATTTTAAATTCTAATTGATGGGCAGGTTTCAGTTGAGTACTCTATTTTTATGGTGAGCAGATAAGTCAACACACTTAATACATGTATAGTAATTTCTTCTTAGTCATGCCATACAATTGTATATGCTCTGTATGGATTTACCTCTTACAATTGTCATGCATCCATCAGATTTTTGATAAAAAATTCAGTGCAATTTGTGATTATTATAACAAGTGGATGTTGAAAGGACAAGGGAGAGGGCAGAATCATCAAACAGAGCAGTGTTTCCCAATGTAGGGCACATGCCCCACAGGGGGGCAATTTGGTTTTTAAGGGGGGCAATTTGATAATGAGTTATTAACAGTGATTTTTTTGCATTTCTTATGGTTCTAAATGCTTCATACTGTTTATAAATATGTATTGACATAGTTATGCAGTTCAGTTCTCTATTATATGTTTTGAAACTTCGCTATTTTTTTATATCACTTCATATTATTATTTTAAAACAATTTCTTAGTGATTTCTTCCTCAGTACTTCAGCTGTCTTTTTGTTCTTTTATTTTTCTCTTTCATGGATGCCACATTCTTTGGAAGTTTGTTTAGGCCAAGTTAATGGCCTTTTAGGAGTTCACTTTTTGAATAATAAGAATCATATGTCATGGGGGAGGGGGTGGAATAAAGAGAGGGTACATCAGGATTTTAGAGATGCTTAGGTGGGGCATGGCCAGAAAATGGTTGGGAACCACTGAAGTAGAGAGTCCAAGAGATGGTATGAGACATGAAAAGTTTACTGAGGTAAAGTCAACAGAGGTCCCCAGATGCCTCCTGGAGGGGAGGTGCTGAAAGGCAGATGAGATAGAAAAAGCAAGTCAGCCACCTTCTGAAGCTTTCTGGCAAATGGAAGTCTGGGCATGGGAACCAGGAGGAAATTTTCTCTTGTACACAGGAGATGTGGGAAATTGAATTAACCTTGGGCATTTTTCCATCTCAGTGGGATACTGGGATGCCAAAGGTGGGATTCAATAGTTCAGAGTCAGGAAACAGAACAACACTTAATGTTTTGTTAGTGGTTAGAAAGAGAGAGAAAGAAAGGAACAAAAACAACTAACCAATCAAACTTTTGGCATGCCCCAAATGTACAACAAAACAGCAAATTCTCAGCTATCTTTGAAACTTTGGAGAAAATAAATAAAAAATGAAATTAACAGTACTCAGTGTTACTAATCTAGGGCATATTAGCAATCATTGATATTATTTTACTTAAGTATGCCACAGTAATAATTCTATTCACTTATGGTAAAACTTTATGATACGTAATATATTTCAATATAGAATGGTTCACATTTGTAGGATCCTGTAGACATTAGGAAATTTGGTGACTAATATCTCCCTTGATTCTTTGATTATTTTTTTCTGTTATCGAAAGGCATGGACTGTATGTTAGTTATTATCTGTTAAATAAATGATTTTTAAAATTGCATTGAATCAATTTATTTCTGTGTGTCTAACATTTGTCAGAATCTAAGAATGCTTGCTTAGAAAGCATTTTAAAATCTTCCGGTAAATAAGACTACAATTTCAGTTACTCTTGTCATTTTTTAAAAATGTTTCTGTTGATTTTAGATAGAGGAAGGGAGAGGGAAAGAGATATAGAAACATCAGTAATGAGAGAGAATCGTTGATTAGCTGCCTCCTACACAACCTCTACTGGGGATCGAGCCCCAAGCCCCAGCATGTGCCCTGACTGGGAATTGAGCCTTGACCTCCTAGTTCATGGGTCAATGCTCAACTGCTGAGACACACCAGCTGGACACCCCTGGTCATCTTGACAACAATTTGCAAATATTAAAACCTGTGAAGGGTAGCTTTCCCCCCAAAAAATCTATCATGTATTATTTTCTACTCCATATATATATATAGCTATTAAATAATGCCCTCTTTTGTATCCTGACTTTATATTCTCCTGGTCATTGGGTCTGACTTTTCGCATGCTTCTCCTTTCATAGGCATCTCCTTTATCCAGTCAGTGTAAATACACTCTTTAAAAAAGGTTTGTTTCCGACAAACAAGAAGAAAATCATGGAGTTCTACCAGCAGTTTCAAACTTATGATGAAGGTTTTGAATATGGAACGCAGATGCCAGAATGTCTTCTAAGGTAGAAGTTGTTTCCCATAATTAATTCATTGACCAAGCTCCTCTCAGCAATTCATGCGCCTCTCATTTCCCTGTTCAAAGTAGATATAACAGTTTAGTGGAAAAGAGATAACTGTTTTTTATGACTGGCTTGTTTTTGAAGGAGGAACAGAAGAGATATGCATGTTTTCTTTTTTAACTTCGAGGAGCAAATCCTTGAAAGGGAAGTAGAGGGAGAGAGAGGAAAAGAAAGAAAAGGAAATGAATGTGAATATTAGAATGAAGTGCAGAATTTATTTGAGTCTTATCCCATTTACAGCTTATAATCACACTCATTGCCACAGTTTGGACCTGCGTTAAACTGTCCAATGTGTCTAGTCTCAGAATCAGACATGGTCATCCTCATTCTCTCTGAGGCAAAAGTAGGTGTGGTTAAATGCATTTCTTAAAGTGACTCAGATAAAAATTTATAAAATGGCTCGAATACAAAGTAGCTCATGATTTTTTATCTCTTGGCAGTTGGTTTATGGTGGTTGATGGTCAAAAAGATTAAAAACACATAGCCAGTTCACTTTACCTGGTTTAATACAGCAATGGGTCCCCATGCTAGCTTTTCATCCTTCTGTAAGTGACAACAGCCAGAGTAAAAGTATTTTACTCTGGGTTTTGTTTTCTTGTTCATTGCCAATCCTATAGGAATTCAAACATATATCTGTAAAAAACACTAAAGTTGTCCCTTTCCATTTTCCTTATGGACTAATAAGTCTGAGGGTAGACCTCTCATGAAATTCTAGCTGAAGATGAAAAATTTGGAGAAATAATTCTCTAGACATCCCCCATTTCATACTGTGACCTATTACTTCTAGAGTGCTTTCAAATTAATTTATACACATTTTTTTTCTCTCACCTAGAAACTGGTCAAAATCCAAACGGTGGTTTCTAGCATTTTTTGAGAAAAACATCCCAGATATAAAAGCAAAAAAATCTGAAAAAGATAATTCCATGGTAAGTAGATCTTATCTTTTTTTCCCCTCCCTAAAATACATGAGATGAAGACAACGAGGCTTTTTAAATCATAGCCACTCTAACTCCCTATTTGAATCAAGACAAATTTTGAACTTTCATTGATGCTCATTCATTGTTTAAGGCTTTGGAACAGAATTCAGTGTGAATAGTCACAAGCAATTTAACTTCATCTTTGTATGTATTGCTTCTGTTTCCCTTGAGAAGTTTCCTGTTTTGATACCCACATTTTTTTTTTTAATGTGGGCTAAGAAGAAAATAAAAGATTCTGTTATGTTCTGCATAAGTGGATTTCAATGGCCTACTTACGCAGAGGACTAAAAGAAGTTTTTTGTTTTTGTTTTTCAAATATTCTACACCCATTTTATTACATTAGAAATATCAAATGTGGTGATTTCATCCATGTGTCTAAATGTATATTAAACGAGTATTTCCATTTACAGAATATCAAAATAATGAAATACATCTGTAGGATTTTTCATGAGAAATAAACTTGGTGTTATAATAGCTTCCATTGTAAGTATGATAGAAACCAGCTCTGAATGAAATTTATACTTAAACTATTTTCAGTCCTGCTAACCCATTGTTACAAAAAACAATAACAATAAGTCACTACTGACGTTTATGGGTTGCATACTCCATGCCAAGGCACAGTGTTACACAGATTCATTTCTCATTTATTTTCCACAACTTTCATACCCAGAAAATTGGGGGTTGTTAAAACCAGAAAGCTGGGGATCAGAATAGTTAGTCACTTTTGAAACATTACATGCCTTAGTAAGTAACGGCAACTGTCTCTCATCATATATTTTCTCTGATAGTGACTTCATAGTTATTTTCTGTATTGTAGGATCTGAAGCAGAACTACTACATATGGTACAAGGCAGCTCTCCAAAACCTAATCCTTGAGAATTATGGGTTGTTCCTCTTAGGGGGCAGTAGAGTAGGCAGCTAAGAGTGTGGGCTCTGAAGCTAGTGCCAAGCTCGCAGGATCTGTATCCCAGCCCATCACCTAGAAGATATATGTCCCTGGCAAAGTCCCCTAACTTAATCGGACTTCAGTTGACTCAAATGTAAAATAGTGAAGATAGTATTTATGTCTTGGAGTCGGGTGAGGATTGAATGGATAAAATACTTGTAAAGCACCTGAAATGGTATTTGCCTTAGCAAGCAATGACTAGACAGTAGCTATATTATTTCTATCACCTACGCCTGAGTTACTTAAGGCTCAAAGTGCACAGGTAATTTAATAAAAATTCTCTAGTGTCTGAATTCATTCCTCATGCTGTTTTTCACAGGGTTTCAGAGAATAACAGTATCTATAGAACACTAGCCCTGCAGTTTTCTCTCTCATGGGGTATAGCCTGAGAAACTGCATGGTGAATGGTGGTAAAGTTTTCTCCTGAATGCTCCAGAGAACTGTGTTTCTTTTGCAAAGAGTAGTGAAGAGAGAGAGAGAGAGAGAGAGAGAGAGAGAGAGAGAGAGAGAGAGAGAGAGAGAGAGAGAGAAATAGAGAGAGAGAGAGAGAGAGAGAGAGAGAGAGAGAGAGAGAGATTAACATTTCTCAAAATGGCAAGTCATTTAATACTTACACAATCCTATGACCATTTTATAGATGAAACTGAGGCACAGAGAATTTAACTTGTCTGGGGTTACCCAATTCTTAAATAACAGCCAAGTTCTAGTTGCTCATGAAAGTATCTTGGAGGTTGTCACTTCATCCTCTTAAGTAAGAACCTGAACAGACTGAAAAATCAACTCTTAGATTCACCAGAGAGGGATGATACAGGGCAAACCTTTGGCCTCCAGAATGGAGAGAACAGTAAGCAAATACCTGATATTTTGTTAAGGATTTTTGCTCTATATTTAGTTGTGGGGGCACCACTCATCCCAGTCAGCCGAGTTGCTCTCCCCCTGTGGGAGTGCACTGACCACCAGGGGGAATCTCCTGCAATGAGCATCTGCCCCCCTGGTAGTCAGTGCATGTCATAGCAATTGGTAGACCAGGCATTCTGGTCATTCCACTGTTTGGTCTCCGGGCTTTTATTGTATAGGAAAGAGTAGGATAGGATAATGTCTTTGGTTTTGGTATTAGTGTCATGTTGGCCTTGTAAAATGAGTTAGGATGTGCTCCCTCTATTACTATACTCTGAACAAAAATTGGTATAAGTTTATTTTTAAATGTTTGGTAGAAAGCTTGGTGCTTTATGTTTTGGAAAGTTATTGATTATGGACTTAATTTCTTTAACAAATGTGGTCCTGTTTAGATCATCTATTTCTTTAGAGCTTTGGCAGATTGTGTCATTCAAGGGAGTGATCATTTCATCTAGGTTATCATATTTGTTGGCAAAGAGTTGTAGAAAGCATCTCTTTATTATATAGTAGAGGCCCATTGCAGGAAGGCTCCTGCAAGAACAGAGCTTCTGCTACCTCTCTCCCTCCCTTCTCCGCTCCTTCTCTCCCTTCTGCAGTGCTTGGCTTCCTTCTATGCTGTCTTCAGTCTTCGCTCCATGCCTGCAAATGTAAATTAACATCTTTTTATTCATTTTTATTTTTTTATTGATTTTTTACAGAGAAGAAGGGAGAGGGAGAGAGAGTTAGAAACAACGATGAGAAAGAAACATTGACCAGCTGCCTCCTCACACCCCCTATTGGGGATGTGCTCCTAATCAAGGTACATGCCCTTGACTGGAATTGAACCTGAGACCCTTGAGTTCACAGGCCAATACTCTATCCACTGAGCCAAACTGGTTAGGGCTAACCGACATCTTTGTTGGGTTAATTTGCATACTTGCTTCTGATTGGCTGGTGGGCATAGCAGCTGATGGTCAATTTGCATGTTTCTCTTTTATTAGTGAAGATATTTTTAACTTTTAAATATATTTTTTTTATTGATTTCAGAGAGAGGAAGGAATATAGAGAGAAGGATAGAAATGTCAATGATGAGAGACAACCATTGACCCACTGCCTCTTGCACACCCTACCTGGGCATGTGCCCTGACTGGGAATTGAACTGTGACCTTTTAGTTCATCAGTTGGTGCTCAATCACACCAGCTGAGCCCTTTATTTTCTTTTTAATTTTCATGGGCTTTATAATGATGTCCTCTCTTTAATTTCTGATATTAGTAATTTCTGTTCTCTCTCTCTGTCTCGATTTTTTCTCTTAAAGCTAGAAGCTTGTTGACTTTATTGATCTTTTTAAAGAGCCATTTTTTTAATCTCATTAATATTTTTCTATTGATTTCTTGTTTTTAGTTTCATTGATTGCTCTAATTCTTCTTTCTTCTGCCAACTTTGGGTTTAATTTGTTTCTCGTTCAGTTTCCTAAGGTGAAAACTTGGTTTATTGAGTTTAAAACTTTCTTCTTTTCTAATATATCCATCAATGCTATCAATTTCCTTCTAAGCAATCCACATGGAGCAGGGAGAGGGGAGGGAAGGAGAGAGAAACCTTTTTTCTGCCAAGGGTAATTTGGACATTTATAACATCAGTCATGGGCCATACAAATGATCAGCTTAAAAATTAGCCTGCTGTATTTGGTCAAACATTCGATTAACTCATCCCTAATGCCTTGATAGGACCAGACCAAATGATTTCATGGGCCTTATATGGCTCATAGGCCCGACCCCTGTCGTAGAGTATTTTTGCTGTCCTAAAAATCCTCTGTGCTCTGTCTATTCATTTTTGGCTATAAAACAGCTTAACAAATTTGAAAGAATAAAAATCATACCTACTTTCAGAACACAATGTAGTTAAACTAAAAATCAGTTGTTACGCCCAGATTTTGTGATCCCCAAGGACCACCAGGGAGCCAAGTCCGATGCTCTACCCTGCCCCACAGTACAAAATGGAGTCAGGAGTTAGCCTCACCCCGCCCTGCCCTCTCACAGTAATGAAAGGAAAATCCCAAAACAACATACTTCTAAATAAGTCACAGGTCAAAGAGGAAAAATTGGGAGACATTAAAAATATTTTGAAACCAATGAAAATGAAAACTAAGCCTACCAGATTTGGGGTGTAGCAAAAGCAGTGCTTATGGCAGCTTTACTCATAGTTGTCAAAACTTGGAAGGAACCAAGATGCCCTGCAGTGTGTGAATGGATTATAAGGAAAGATATATGTCGTTATAGATTTCTCTATACCCATAGAGTGTACAACACTAAGAGTGTACCCTAAAGTAAACTATGGACTTTAGGTAATTATGATGTGTCAATGCTGGTTCATCCTTGGTGAGAAATGTAATTTACTGCTGAATGATGTTGATAATTGGGAAGGTTGCGCATGAGTGGGATAAGAGTTATAAGGAAATCTCTGTACCTTCCTGTCAATTTTATTGTAAATCTAAAAATAAAATAAAATTAAAGTCTTAAAAAAAATACTAAGGCAGATTTTGAAGCAATAGAGTAAGGGAGCTGAGCTCCAGAGTCCCTACTCCTAATCACTGAACAAGGAGTAAGTATGTAAATCCCTTGGCATGCTGCAATTTGCAAGTCTGGGAATGGCAGAAATAATACCTTTTGGATAAAAGAAAAATGTGCGGTCTGTTGTTTATCAACATAAGTCTTTATCACATAACTGCGGTTTGACAATACTTATTTCTTTCAACAGACACTAATGCAGGTGCTGTTGGATACCATAGACATGGAAACAAATGAGCGTAGTCCAAACTACGGGCTTCTGCTCCTTTGGGCTTCTTTGTCCAATGCCGTCCCTGTAAGTATGTCAGCAAAATAAGGGCTGCCTTTCAGTCTATGCATTTTCAATGTTCCCTTCACTTTCCTTGCTCCCTCCCTGCCTTCCTTTCCTTTTTCCTTATGGGAAAGAAAAAGACTGCAGTGGAGTTGCAGTCTGAACTGAATATTTAATGAAATCTGATAAGATCGCCAAGGAGGCAAATTGGAGATCTGTGGCAATTCCTGTGTCTGAAGTGCAGCGTGTCACAGGCTAAGGAAGAAGCTTGCACCTGGATCAGCTGTGACACCTGCTTATGGAGCACTTCTCTGCAGGGCCGTGTGCTTAGCATTGGTGCTGCAGAGATGAAGAAGGCTTGACCCTTAGCTTTCATTGGGGAGTGAGTGGGTCAACAGATAGTTTCAGATAGAATTGCACTTGAATCCAGGTATCCCCAGTCACAGCTATAGAATCTCACGGAGGTAATTTCACCTCTGAGTTTCCATTTCCTTCTCTGTAAAAAGGGGATAAGGAAACTCCTAGTGAGGTCCTAGGACTTGGTACTTATTAATAGTAACTCTCGCCGAAACTGATTTGGCTCAGTGGTAGAGCTTCGGTCTGTGGACTGAAAGGTCCCAGGTTTGATTCCGGTCAAGGGCATGTACCTTGGTTGCGGGCACATCTCCAGTAGTGCAAGAGGCAGCTGGTCGATGTTTCTCTCTGATCGACGTTTCTAGCTCTGTCTCTCTCCCTTCCTCTCTGTAAAAAAATTAATAAAAAATATTTAAAAAATAATAATAAAAATAGTAACTCTCATTTCTCTGCAAGGTTGTTGTTGAGGATTCAAGATAAGCCCATCTGGTACCTGTTGAATAAGAGTTCTTTGTCTTCCCCATCCCCGTCTCCTTCTGTTTTTATTACCTGCCATCTTGGTCCTGTAAGCTTCCCTGTAAATGGAGCTGGTGGCACTGGAATGCACAATACTTCTGAAGAGAGTGGACACTGTGTAACTAATTTTTTAAAAGCTCTTATGAACTCGATTAAAGCCATGAGCTTTGTCTGCCTCTTCAGGTTCCATACTGGCTGGCTTCCTGTGTTGGGAGGATTTCACATTAACCTAAGCTGCATTTACATTATCTGAGAAATTAAAAGGTGACCTTTTTTATACACTTATTTTTCTCCTTAACAGGAACATTCAGATCATCTATAATGATAAATGTGGTCATTTTTCTTCTTTTTCTTCAAACAAATAGAAATAAAATATGTTAAGTATTATTTATATCTTCTTCCTCTTATGAAGGTCCAGGCTATTAAAGGCTTTCTAACTACTGACATTCTAGTTTCCTTTAACCTGCTTCAAACTCATTGGGTAAAGAGCAGAAATAGACATTTCAGCTTCTCTGCTCAAATGCCTGTCAACCACTAGAATATATAAAATAGTCTAATTAATCCTTTCCCCTTTTTATGTACAAAGAATATTAATCTTTGATTTTTCCTTACATAATTTTCTTGGAAGCTGATGAAGCAATAGCAAAATTAAAAAGGAACATGAAAACAACTCCAAAGCAGCAACAAAACAGCCACTCCTGTCACAGGATTGATTTTCAAGATCCCATTAGAACAGTCTCCTAGAGGACAGGGACACAAAGCCCCATTGATCTGACTCTGGGGAAGTCAGCACATTGGAATTTGTTCCTGGCAGTGGTCTGAAAGAATTTAAATCCTTAACTTCAGAAAGGAAGTGTCTGATGATTGTTCAAAGTTCCATCTTGCTGGCTGTTGTTGGCACATCCAAGGGGCAGCTGGTATGTAGGCAGAGACCCTGGAAGGCTTTAGGTCAGTTCCAAAGCCAAATCCCAGTGCCGGGTGACAGCCGGTACTTTGTTGAACCTCACTGAGCCTCAGTGTCCTCATCTGTAATATAGATTTAATGATATCTCCCTCATAGGGTCATTGTGCAGATTATATTGGTAATAAACGGAAATAGCTAACTGTCCATGGCACAAGATAGGCGCTTAATAAATATTAGCTGTGTTCGCTTATAAAAAGTAAAGCCGTGGTTTCAATCAGCCATTATTTTCATTAGTAACCAACTATCCTGGCTTCTAAAACGTGACTGCTCACATGCCCCAGGGTAGGCGCGGCTTCTGCTGTCCTGGTTTCTGTGGTCTTCCATCACCGCCTGGAGAGCTGCCGAACATCCTGCTGGAGGTGTAGGTGGTGGTCCTGACATTTCTTGGTTCCCACATCAGATCTTAGCATTTGTCCTACTCTGTGATCTGCCTAGAGGCCCTTGGGGCTCAGAGCTCAAGCTTCCAATAGGCTTGGTACAGGGCCTTGGTACAGGGCTCCGGACCATAAGACGGACCATGATCTATGACTCTTTAAATAAGATGAATTGAGTATGGAGTCACTATTACCGTATTTTTCGGACCATAAGACGCTCTGGACCATTGTCACCCAGGTGAACTTTGGTGGATTGGCCCAAGATATTAGCCATGATTTATGAAATTGTTTCTATGCTAAAAACATTTCCAAGTTCCAAGAACTTTTCAAGAACATTTTTGCAATTCTAATCTCAAAACTGACATTTTTCCTTTTTTAAAATCTTCCCTGGAGCTCTTTTCTAAACACTTTCACTAGTGACCTTCACTTTATTGTCTGTGCCACCCATTCCCTCTATATTTAGAGATTTTTTTCCATCTCATATCCCCAACTAGATGTGAATCTTCTTTGGGCAGGAATTATGACTTATGCCAATTTATGTTTACCGTGATTGGTCAAAGACTACCTAACATGTTATAGAGACTCCATCAGTATTTGTTAAATCGTTTTTTGAATGAAGGGATAAATGTTGCTCAATGACACAGTGAGGCAGAGCTTTCCTCCCTGTCCCTGTCACCTTTGTTCTTACCTCTCCAGAGCAGTGGGAAGGCATGGGAGTGGCTGCTTCTGAAGGTCACTGAGCCAGGGCCCTTCCCCTTCTTACCCAGCCCTCACCATGGACTTGACCCCTTTGGCAAAATGGTGCCTTCGGGAGCACTTCTTAATTCCTTTCCCACATGTTGGTGAACAAAGATCTCAAGGTCGCTTCTTCTTGTCTGTTGATTCAGTAATGAATGTAATTTTTACTCTTTTTTGCATGCTGTTTATTTTTTAAAAAGTGATTTGGTTTTCTAAAGTAGAAAGTAAAGATTTTTAGAAGTAAAATCTGTTAAGAAAAAAAAGCATTAAAATTATAACTGGCACCATTGTGCAGCTATTTATAGTTTAGCTAAATTTCTTGTATTTGTTATAAAAAGGTATTATAGGTGAATCTCTAAAAGTCTAATTAAGCACATAGAACTTTAGGCCCTTCTTTTGCATAACTGAAAAGCTATGTATGTCACTAAGCCTTCCCCTAACACCCCCCCACCCCCAGCATGATCTATGACTCTTTAAATAAGATGAATTGAGTATGGAGTCACTATTACCGTATTTTTCGGACCATAAGACGCTCCGGACCATAAGACGCACCAGTTTTTAGAGAAGGGAAATGAAGAAAAAAAGATTCTGAAACAAATAGTGTCCTAAAATATTTTATGTGCATTAAAACCCAACATCACAGTCATAAACACATGTAATCAACCCTGTAAAGTAAACAGCAGCATTTAGAACCATTTTAGAGCCGGGCAAGCACACAGAGACCACACAGAGCCGGGCAAGTAAAAAAACTTTTTTTTTAAAGTATATGTGTAGGCTATATTTGGACCATAAGACGCAGGGACTTTTTCCCCCCCACTTCTGGGGGGGAAAAGTGCGTCTTATGGTCCGAAAAATACGGTAATTAAATACAGTAATTCAGCACTTCCATCTATGAAAAATGTAGAACAGGCCTGAATGGGGAGGCAGGAGAAGAGAGCTCTCTGGGAGTCTTACTCCTACTGTAAAACCACACTATATGATCCACCTCTAGGGTAATTCTTTTGTAATCTGGAAAATGCTACAGAAAGTGTCCCCCCCCCCCCCCCCCCCCCACCTTGTGGTGGCCTGGGTTTAACACAATGATCCCTTCCCTGCAGTTTAATGTCTCAGAGGGGAAACAATAAGCAGCAATGACCTTGGTTTTGTGAGTGTTTCCTTTCACATAATTGCTCTTCCTCTTTTGACCACAGAGGGGAGTATTGGAATTATTTTAAGGTACCCAAAGTTACTTCACAAAAGGGACAGACTTAAGTGACACAAAGTGTTGTCTGGGTCGTATTTCAGGACTGGTTTTCCTAGATGAAATTTCTTTCACAATACAATGTTTATGAAGAAAGAAAGAAAAAAAAGAAAGCATAATTCAAGCTTCTTCTAATGATTTTAAGTAGGTTTTCTATATTGTGTAGCCTAAAAATAGAAGGGAAAACATTTACCTGAGTTTAGGAAAAGCTAGTTTTTGAGATGTGTAACAGTATAATTTTATTTTACTGCAGTGAGGAAAGATCTGAAATACTTCTGTTTGGTCTGGAGAGAGAACTGGCAAGCATACTGCATTCAGTAACAAGCTATGAACTTTTGAGCACCTTACTATGTTCAGTAGGGTGTAAAAGGACCCCGTTTTTTATATGGAGTACTCTCATAATTTAGTTTATGAGAGTTTAGATACAGTATCTTGGGATTACTTAAAATTTCCATGTTTCATTTGCAGAATATGATTTGACAATTCCTTTGTATTTCAAGGAAATAAAATCTTAAAAAAATATTTCTCTTTTGGACTTGGATTAACATTCTTAAGTGGCATAGTTTTTTGTTTTTAAATATTAACTGTATGCCTGCCCTGGCCAGTGTGCTCAGTAGTTAGAGTGTTGGCTCTTGCACAGAAGGGTCTCGTGTTCTATTCTTAATTAAGGATACATACCTATTGCAGGCTTGATCCCTGGCCCCGGTTGGTGTGTGTTCAGGAGGCAACCAAATCCATGTATGTGTCTCTCACATCATGATTCTCTCTTTCTCTCCCTCTCTCCCTCCTCACCTTTCCTCTCTGCCACTCTCCCTAAGGAAAAAAAAAAAAAAAAAATCAATGAAAAAACCATCCTATAGTGAGGATTAACAAAACAAATAAGCAAAACAAAAAATATTCACTGTATTCTTATATAATATTTTATATTGTATATTTGTAAAAGAAATCCCACTTTTCACATTTTTTCATGCACATTAATCTATGTAAACAACATAGTGAAACTGTAGAGAGAATAAAATTATAAATTGGACCTCTTAGAGATGAATACTGTCTCTTTTGTTCATAAAACTTAGTTATTTTCAAAGATGCTCTTTACTAACGTGCTTTTAAGTTTAATTTAAACAATCTCCTTGCTTCTTTTATTTATTTTTTATTTTTAAAAAATATTATTGAATGTATTACATATGTTTGAGCCTAATACTAAGTCTGCATTTGTTTACTTTCAAAAAAGGTTATAATTTTTTATGTATGTTTTTCTTTTTAAGATTGCATTTTGGACACTTGGATTTATCCTCTCTCAACCCAGTCTTTACAAAGCCATTATGGAAGGCATATCATCTGTGTTTGGTGCAGCAGGTACTAAAACGGAATTAAATTACATAAGTGAAGAGACATCAACTAATATGTGCTCATTACATATCGCGAGCAAAGTCAACTGCCCGTAATTTCATAGAAATTCCATATAGTCCAAAATTGAACATCATTTATGTGTGGTAGGACTTACATGGGTCAGGTAAAATCCTAGAATTTAATTATTATCAAGGATTATAGAGGTCAGCTTGCCTAACTCCCTTATTTTCCAAATGATGACAATAAATGCTAGGGAGATAGTGATTTGCCCAACTTCCCTACGTAACCTTAAATATATGATGTGCAGGGCTTTTTCTCCTGGTCTTCTGGCCCCTTACTTCAATTGAGCTGCAAGTCCATAGTTTTTGAATTCAGGATTTTCCTTGTTTCATAAAAGTAATATGATGCATAGTGCATATATTACATAACAGTACTAATGGGGTAGGGAAATCAGACAACATTCTACCACCAAAGGAATTCATTTAAAAGTTACAGTTGTTAGAGATTTCAGGATTAACGCCAGAGATAGGAATTGCTCCCTTTCTTTTTTGGTTCAGACTCCATTCTTTTCTTGTAATTTGTTTTAAAAAGCAGAAATAATCTAGAAGGGAGAGGGCTAAGCTACTTGTTTACTCAGTATAATTTGACTTGTTTTGGAGTAGATTTAAAAAAAAAAAACTTAGTATGTCAAATTATGCATTCTAATATGAAAAGAGTAACAAATGACTTGGTTTTGGGGAAGAAAACAATATAATAATTGGATAAAAAGGATCATGACAATTAACACTTTTCCTCTCCCCCTTCATGATTGCTAAAAATATCTTATTTGGAATTTTTAATTTAATTTTGACTACTTCTTGCTGACCTAAACCAAAAAGCAAATTGGCTTGACCAATGTGAGTATCTGAGCCCAACAGTTTTTTTTAAAAATATATTTTTATTGATTTTTTTACAGAGGGGAAGGGAGAGAGATAGAGAGCTAGAAAAGTCAATGAGAGAGAAACACCGACCAGCTGCCTCTTGCACACCCCCTACCGGGGATGTGCCGGCAACCAACATACATGCCCCTGACCGGAATCGAACCTGGGACCTTTCAGTCCAAAGACCAACGCTCTACCACTGAGCCAAACCAGTTTAGGCTGAGCCCTACAGTTTTGAGCCTTGAGTGTGAATCAGCAGGTGCTGGATCTCAGCTTAGAAATGGTGAGCATTACTCTCACAGAGGACCAAGAGTGCTCACAAGGTAGATTTGGCCATATTTTAGAAAATCGAAGAGAAGGCTGCCTTCACGGAGCGTTCATCTACAAAGCTATTGGAAATGTATGCGCATACCTGCATGTCTTCAGATGATAAGAGGGAATGTGTCCTTGATTGTCACAAATTCTCCCGTACCATTTCCTCATTAGAGCCTTGTCCTCATTTAGGACTTTCCAAATTCTTGGTCTTTAGGAAATAAAAAGGTACAGATGGGAATGGTGGGAATAATGTGGGAAACCTCTCTGACCCCAAGCCACAACAATTAAATATGACATTAATCTAAATGTCTACAATGCTTGAAGCTTGAATTATTGAACACAGTGCTAATGGAGAAAGAGAAATCTTTTTCTCTTCTCCATGTTCTGTTTATTTTTAGAGCCTATTGTTTTCCTTTGACAGAAAATTGCTCCTTCAAATGTAGTACCAGCTATACTTATGTCAATGCTTCCAGTTTACGAGACTATTGTAGAATTGAAAACAATTTATTAAAAAAAAAATCAATATTTCTTGCCATGCCTCTGTATTTCGGATCAACACATGCATAAGCCATAGTAGTAGCTCAGGAATTTAGATGTTGTGAGAGGAGACTACAGGTCTTTGATGGTTAATATCAAGGAAGATATCCGTGTACCCATACAAAGGATCCTATCAAAGAAGGAACATTAGAGTGCATGGAACAAGGATCTGATTCAGTATGGCAGTTTTCCCATTTGTATGCTCTTTTTTATCACAAGATCACTATTTCCTTCTTGGAGATGTCTTCAGTCAATTTCCAATTCTGCATCTCTCTCACCTCAAAACTCACCCCTAGAGCCCATCACAGACACTTTGCCTAACTTTCTTATAAAACAAGTTTAAGGATAAAGGCTACTACTGTTGAATACTTGGTCTTTTGTGTCTAGCTTCTTTCACTTAACATAATGTTTTATATTGCTATGTTTTACTTTAATTGATTTTCAGATGTTGAACCACCCTTGTATTCCTGGGATAAATCCTACTTAATCACAGAGTATAATCCATATAAGACATATAATTTTCATATATCTCTGGATTCAGTTTGTTAGTATTATTTTGTTGAGGAATTTACACTAACATTACTAAGGGATATTAGTCTATAGTTTTCTTGCCATGTTGTGGGGTGGTTTTGATATTAGGATACCTCTAGCTTTATAGAATATCTTCAGAAACATTCCCTATTCTATTTTATTTTATTTTTTGGTAGGACTTTTAAAGGATTGATGTTAATTCTTCATTAACCATATAGTAGAATTCACTAGTTAAGTAAACTAGTCCAGATATTTTCTTTGTGATAGGGTTTTAAAGAAATTAAATATCTCCACTTCAAGGATATTCACATTATCCATTCCTTCTTGAGTTTAGTTTTGTAACTCCTTAGGAATTTGCCCTTTCATCTAGGTTATTTAACTTGTTGGCATACAATTATTTATAGTATTCCCCATAATCCTTTTTCATGGTTAGGTCACAAGGAAAACATCTCTCCTTTTCATTTTGGTAATGTGTTCTTTTTCTTTTTTTCCTCCCTCCCACTGGGTCATTGTAGCTAGAGAGTTGCCAGTATTATGGACAAAGAGCTAACTTTTGGTTTTGTCTGTTTTGTTTGATTTTATTTTTTCTTTTGATATTCTAGTTTATACTTAATTTATTTCTATTCTAATCTTTATTATTTATCATTTCTATATCTTTATTGATATTCTCTACTTAGTTCTTTTACTTGATTTTTTTCAGTTCTTTGGGTATATTTAAAACATCTAAAGTCTTTTTTTAGTAAGTCCAATATCTGTCTTTTTTCAGGGATAGTTTATATTGATTGCTTTTTTTCTCTCTGTATGGTCAGTATTTTTTTTTGTTTGTTTCATGTCTTATTTCATATTTTCTTTTGCATGTCTTATAATTTTTTTGCTGAAAACTGGATTTTTTTAAATTGATTTTTCTTACAGAGAGGAAGGGAGAGAGATAGAGAGCTAGAAACGTCGATCAGAGAGAAACATCGACCAGCTGCCTTTTACACACCCCCTACCGGAGATGTGCCCACAACCAAGGTACATGCCCTTGACCGGAATCGAACTTGGGACCTTTCAGTCCACAGACCGATGCCCTACCACTGAGCCAAACCGGTTTCGGCTGAAAACTGGATATTTTTTTTTTTTTTTTTTTTTTTTTTTTTAATAAGTTTTTATTGTTCATATTATTACAAATGTTCCTTTCCCCCCCCCCCCCCCACCATTGCTCTCCTCCACCAGGTTCCCACCCCACCCTCTGCCCTTTCCCCTCTCCCCATTGTCCTCATCCATAGGTGCACAGTTTATGTTCAGTCTCTTCCCACGCCCCCCTCTCCCCTTTTCCCCATGAATCGTCAGTTCACTCCCCTTCCATATCTCTGATTCTATTATATTCAACAGTTAATATTGTTCATCAGATTTTTTTTTTAATTTCCTTGGTTTTTAGATTCACTTGTTGATAGTTACGTATTTGTTGTTCATAATTTTTATCTTTGTTTACCTTCTCTTCTGAAAGAACCCCCTTCAGCAATTCATATAATTCTGGTTTGGTGGTGATGAACTCCATTAGCTTTTTTTTATTAGTGAAGCTCTTTATCTGGCCTTCGATTCTGAGTGATAGCTTTGCTGGGTAGATTATTTTTGGCTGTAGGTTCTCGCTATTCATCACCTTGAATATTTCTTGCCATTCCCTTCTGGCCTGCATGGTTTCTGTTGAGAAGTCAGCTGACAATCGTATAGGTGCTCCTTTATAGGTTACTACCTTCTTTGCTCTTGCTTCTTTTAATATTCTCTCTTTGTCTTTTGCTCTTGGAATTTTAATAATGATGTGTCTCGGTGTGGTCCTCTTTGGATTCCTTTTGTTTGGAGTTCTGTGTGCTTCCTGGACTTGTAAGTCTAATTCTTTCACCAGATGGGGGAAGTTTTCTATCACTATTTCTTTCAGTATGTTTTCGATATCTTGCTCTCTCTCATCATCTGGGACCCCCATAATTCTGATGTTGGTTCGCTTGAAGTTGTCCCAGAGGTTTCTTACATTATCTTCAATTTTCTGGATTCTCTTGCCTTCTAGCTTCTGTGGAGGAGTGTCTTCTGGCTCTTTATGTTCCAAATCTTTGACTTGATTCTTGCGATCTTCCCTTCTGTTTTTAGGACTCTGTAAAATATTTTTTATTTCAGACAATGTATTCTTTATTTCTTGTTGACTCCTTATTAATTCTAGTTGATCTCTTTTCATATCCTCGTAGGCCTTATCCATCTTTTCTAGGAAATTCTTGAAAAACCTTGTAAGCGTAGATTTGAACTCTATATCCAGACGCTTTTTGTCCTCCATTTCTTTCGTTTGTGATCTATTTTGTTGTCGCATTTCGCAGTTCTGAAAACTGGATATTTTTAATATCATAATGTGGCAACTCTGGAAATCAGATTCTCCTCTCAGGTTTATTGTTATTGCTGCTTATTGTTGTTCATTTAATGATTTAGTTTGTATTCCTTATCATATGTGGCACTTATGTCTCTGCTTTGTTAGTTTAGTGGTCAACAGATACTTGGGCGAAGTATTTTTTTTAAATTTATTTTATTGATTTTTTACAGAGAGTAAGGGAGAGAGATAGCCAGAAACATCGACAAGAGAGAAACATCAATCAGCTGCCCCCTGCACACCGTTAACCGAGGATGCGCCTGCAAGCAAGGTACATGCCCTGACCAGAATCGAACATGGGACCTTTCAGTCCACAGGCTGATGCTCTATCCACTGAGCCAAACCGGTTTGGGCTGGGGGGAGTATTTTTACATTGATAACCAATAACTCTCCCATTCTTTGGCAAGGGACTCTGTGCGCATATTGAGGCCTACTTCAACACATGGCCAACCAATTGACAATTCTGCCTTAGCTTTTACTTCCTGCTTGCACAGAACCTCAAAGCCAGCCCTTGTTGAAACATTGGGGCTTCTCATGTCTTTTCAGAGCACGAGTAAAGCCCTGGGCATTTGTTCAGTACTACACAAGAACAAGGCCTTCGATATTTCCAGGAATGTCCTGGAACTCTCCAAAGCCCATAGGACATTTCATTTCCTAGCTTTTTATTTGAATATTTTGGGTTTACTTGTTTTTGTCCCAACTGTTATCTATTGGTTCAGGTAGCTGCCAAGTTAAACAATTATCTTTAAAAGTTTTCAGCCAACATCCTGGAGGAAAAGACTTTTTCCACTGGGGAGCCCTAAGTCAGATCAGGTCAAGACAGTCTTGGCAAGTGGGATTTTTCAGGAGACTGCCACACAGGTAACAAAACGATAATTTTCTAGGAATGAAGCTTCGCAGAAGTTCCAACCCTATCCTCCCCCCTCTGGTGGCTGCAGGGCAACTGATTGCAATATGAATGCAAATATCGATATTCAAGGTTATTGGGGAGTTTGAGGGGGGGAGGTCACAATAGGGGCAAGCTAAAATGTCATTAAGCTTGCTGTTTTTACCAAGATTCAGACATTTTTCTTGGATTTGCACTCCCTGAATTGCTGTAAGCCCATGGTTAATTTTCAGAGTTCTGAAAAAGTGATCCTGGCTATTTTTACCCTATTTCTCATTGGTTCTAAAGAGGGATTTTTCAAAGTCCCTTTTTTAGCTGACATAACCCTGAACCATATGTTTTAAGATTTCTTTTAGGAAACCTGCCAGATGGATGAAGCTTTCACTCATCCATTCATTGACTTGGCACTGTGAGAAATGCCAGGGCTGCGAAGGGGCGTGAGGTGTGGTGCAAGGTGCTCTCAAGGAAGCTCATGAATTGCTTTTCTATCGTGTAAAAGCAGGTTGGGGAGTAGCTAGCAGATGTTAGCAGAGAGAAAGGAATATTTCTATTGTTTCTTTGGAGATGTGTACCCGCTGTAGAATTCTGTAGGTTTTCTGTGCCTGGAACCTTTCCCTTGTTCTTGCTAATCATTCAGCATGAGTGTCATTTCCTCAGACAGGACTTGTATACTGATCCTATCTAATGACATGTTCCCTAGCTCTGCCCCTTGCTTCTCTGGCTCTTCTTGCTCCTTATTTCCTTCATATGCATGGTTATTTATTTATTGTATTTATTTATCTATCCTCCACCACCTTCACCAGAACATAATCTTCCCAACAACAGCAACAATGTGTGTTGTGCTCTCTATAGTATCTCTAACTGCCTAAAACCAAAAAATTACTTAACAAATATTTTCTGAATGAATTTAATGAACAAATATAAGGTTGTATTTTTAAGAGATGGGTGTCTTGGTCTAGCCTTCATTTGCAGCTCTGTCTCCTATCCCATTAAACAGTGCAGAGGATCTAACCAGTTTGGCTCAGTGGACAGAGCTTTGGCCTACGAACTGAAGGGTCCGAGGTTCAATTCCAATTAAGGGCATGTACCTTGGTTGTGGGGCATATTCCCAGTAGGGGGTGTGCAGGAGGCAGCTGATAGATGTTTCTTTCTCATTGAAGTTTCTAACTCTCTATCCCTCTCTCTTCTTGGGGAAAAGGGGAGAGGGGGGCGTGGGAAGAGACTGAACATAAACTGTGCACCTATGGATGAGGACAATGGGGAGTGGGGAAAGGGCAGAGGGCGGGGTGGGAACCTGGTGGAGGAGAGCAATGGTGGGGGGGGAAAAAAGGAACATTTGTAATAATATGAACAATAAAAACTTATTAAAAAAAAAAAGAAGAAAGAAAGAAAGAAAGAAAAATAAATAAATAAATAAATAAATAAATAAATATTTTTTTAAAAAAAAATTTGTTTAAAAAAATAAAAAAACAGTTCAGAAGACATGAGTGTTTTATGTAAAAAAGTTTCTGACAATTTTCTGCACTGAATTTTTGAGTTAGCAAAACCCTTGTCTCAGCCAATATCTAATCAGTAATATGGGATGCTGAGTAGTTGCAAACCCAAGAATCCATGTGAGTGGCAAGGAATGCTAGCATTTCTCAGAGTTTTAATTCTGTAAAGCATTTTCTTGCCTAACATTTTATTTTATCCTTTGATCTTCAGTGTAGCCTACATTATCGTGTCACGGGGAAGCTGATAAAGAGTATTTTATTTTGATAAAGAGTTTTGGGGTATAATTCCTGAAATTAGTCATTTAGTTTTAACTTTGAATTTATAAATTACAACATATTATTTCAATACCTTGTCATAACCTCTGAAACACAGTGTAAGAACTGAGATCAGATTTCCTGGGTTTAAACCCAGCCTTATCTAAGTCACCAAATTTTTGAAACCTGTTTTCTCTTTGAAATAATGGCAAAATAATAATGCCCATCTCATGGAATTATTGGGAGACTATCTATATATATAAATCCCTAAAATGCAAATAGACCGAATGGTGGAACAACCGAATAATAGGTCGCTATGACATGCGCTAACCATCAGAGGTATGCGCAGATCATGGCGAGCATCAGCAGCAGGCAGCAGAGTGTGGAACATGGTGGGCATTGGCTGTGGTGGGATGATGGAGAAGGGGGGCAGGGGCACC